AACCAACTGAGCCACCCAGGCGCCCGAATAAACCCTTTATTAACCACAGCAGTGGGTAGACCAGAACAGGCTCTTTCCCTGGGCCTTTTCTAAAACCAGGCAGCCCACTGAGAAAACAAGGAAGCCAGGGGACAAGGCTGTTTGGGGCAGGTAGTAATTCACAAACCCCTTTCTCTTTTTGCTTACAGGAGAGTGCAGCTGTCATGAAGGCTATGCCCCCGACCCGGTTCACAGACACCTGTGTGTGCGCAGTGACTGGGGACAGAGTGAGGGGTGAGTAGCAAAGGACATTAGAGCAGGGACAGCAGAGGGCCAGCCCCACTCCTCTGCTCTGTTACTACAGGCCCCAAAACCGCTCCACAAAGAGCACTCTTCTCTACAACAGTTGTGTTCCTGTAAGACTCGATGGGCAATGAATCCCATTTCCCACTGAATCACATTTTAGTATTAAAGGTACACGACTGATGAATCTTCTAGAGAACAAAGGCTCAAATTTAACTCCCCCTCCCAAACTGTAAGTAATCAATGGACACTTCCTTAACTGGACTGATACAGAAAGAAAATGGGGTTTTTGTCCATAAACTCCAAAACAGACAAGTGGTCTTTAAAGGGCTGAGTCCTTCTGTGAGATGGAGACATTCTCTTATAAAGAGTCTTAACCCAGTACATGGGTTTGAACAACATGAGTTTAAACCGCACGGTTCCACTTACATGCAGATTTTTTTTTTTCAATAAATACAGTACAGGACGGTAAATGTATTTTCTTTATGATTTTTCTTAACCTTTTCTCTTATCTAGCCTACTTTATTGTGACAATAAAGCATATGACACCTATAACCTATACAATATGTGTTAATCAACTGATTACGTTATCAGTAAGGCCTCCAGCCAACAGTAGGCTATTAGTGGGGGGCCTGGCTGGCTCAGTCGTTAGAGCATACGACTCTTGCTCTCAGGGTCTTGGGCATGGGCGTGGAGCCTACTTAAAAAATAACAAGAACTACATCAAAAATGAATGATGTACTGTATGACTAACATAACATAATAAAATAAAATTAAAAACAACAACAACAACAACAAAATAAAACAGTTGGCCATTAGTAATTAGGGTTTGGGGGAAATCAAAAATGATACGCAGATTTTTGACCATGTGGGGAGTGTCAGTGCTCCTAAGCCCAGTGCTGTTTAAGGATCAGTTGTAATTACTTCTGTGAACTTTGGTTGTCTGCAAGGCTACTTTTAAGCAGTGTCCACCTATGAATCCCATCTGACTAATATCATCTCCTATCCCCTTTTCTTTCCCTTCTGTTCTTCCCACAGACCTTGGCCTTACACTACACTCGAGAGGGGCTATGACCTAGTAACAGGAGAACAAGCCCCTGAAAAGATTCTCAGGTGAGTTGACAGTTCTGTTGGGGCATGATGCTGGGGAGGGGAGCGGGGCCTGGGGAGGGATAGTCGTGCATCCCTAGTGGAGCCTGTGAGCCTTTAGGCTGCGCTGAGTACAGGGGAACTCTCATTGGCATGAATGTACCATCCTGGCCCGGGTTGCTACGGGAATCGAATTCCCATGTGTCTGGCATCTAGACTTAATGGACTCAGATATCTGAATGGGGGAAGACATGGCTGATTATCTAGTCCAGTGCTTTAAAAATATTCTACAGGCATAGAACCTCTTCCCGCCACCTCACTAGAATCTTGTGTGAAACTTCAGTACTTCAGCTGATAAAGACATACAGCAGAGTAAGTGGCAGAACCGGGAATCAGAGTTTGGTTCAAATTGATGCAGAGTCCATGCTCTTCACCTTTGTGCAGACCACCCCTGCTGACTTAGTCACTTAGAGAGCCCCTGTTGGCTCTGAGGATTGCTCGGGACAGCAAAGCTGAAATAGTCCTTGTCCTCATAGAGCCCACTGTTTATTGGGAGTCGGGACAGGTGGTCAGGAAAAGAAAACTAGCAACACAAAGCAATGCATGGGCTGAATGATTAATAGGTTTAAGAGATGGCCATACAGGTCTGGGCAAGGTTGGCCAAATTGTGCTGTAGAGAAGGCAGGGGACTCAGTTGGGTGGGGAAGTAAGAAATGGTCCTAGAAGGGTGGAGGAGGGGCCCCTATTTGCTGTTTTCTCTCTGCTTCCCAGGGAGTTCCCCAATGGAAACTCTTACATTGCAGGTCTACTTTCAGCTTGGGCCAAGGACTCTGGCTTCCTGTCAGCAAAAGCTTTGTGGTTCCGCCTGTGGAGCTCTCCATCAACCCTCTGGCCAGCTGCAAGACAGACGTGCTCGTCACGGAAGACCCTGCGGATGTCAGGTAGGGAAGTCATCCCCAGTGTCCTATACCAAGGACTTTTGGGCACACTGGAGGCCTCTCTGTTTCAGCATCACGGGGACTTGTGCAAAGAAGTGGTCTTCATATTGTTGAAGTAGGCACCTGCCTAGCGGATGATGTGAAGAACACTCTCCAATATGCCACGCTCCACCCTCCTTTAGAAGTGTGCTCCATCCGTGGGCCTCAATGCCTTATATTTCAACATTATCGCACTCCTTCTGGGTTTATATAAAATATGAGCGGGCTAACACATTATCTGGCTCATTCTGGGATTATTAATGATTATGTCTTATAAAAGAACATTGCTTAATAGTATACTGGAGAATCATGAAAGTGAAAGATTAGAGAATGAGGTGCTTTCTATTATGACTCTGGTACTGGGAGCAGACTTTGGGCTAATCCATAGATTCTTGATGTCCAGGTCAAATTTATTTGTTCTTTACTCATGAAGGGTTGGAGACTACATCTTTTGTTACACGTTTTGCACCTTGTAGTTAACTCCATTATAGACTCACTCTACTGTGTTGTAATTAGTTGCTTACATATCATTCTGTCCCATTATGTGGTGAATCTCTCAAGGTCAAAGAAAATAACTTACTTAGCTTTCTAATCTCCAGTTCCCAGCACATATTGGACAACTACTAGTTGTTTATTGATTTAATTAAACCAGTGGTCTTACATCTGATCCCATCACTATTCTGGAGATTTCTAGTGGAGGTGGGTTTTGGGGGTTTTTTCCCCCACCCAATTTGATTAGGTGAAGCATTCCAGAAATTTTAATGTTACCAAAAATGGACTCTGATTTTACTTTTTTTTTTTTTTTGCAAGACAGAGAGAACATGCATGAGTGGGGGCGGGGGGTAGGGGCAGAGGGAGAGAAAGAATCTTAAGCAGACTGCATGCCCAGCACGGAGCCCGACGTGGGGCTCGAACTCACGACCCTAAGGTCATGACCTGAGCCAAAATCAATAGTCAGATGCTTAACCAAATGAGCCACCCAGGTGCCCCTCCGATTTTCCTTTTGAAACTGGCTCATAAATAATTTGTTTACTCCTAAATTGGAACTGAGAATCATGCCTTACTACCCTACTCCTTGTGATTGTGCATAGCTGGCTTTGGGCCATTCTGAATCAAGATGTTATTGGTGTGTCTGTGGCATCTTGATAGGAAGCTCTCAAACCCAACTCCTTGGGTTGCGTTTGGGTTGGTCTCTGCTTTGCAATTTGTTTATTCTCACCTTCTCAACTGTTCATGGACAGATGAACCTAGCATGATTTTTCAGGTTGTTTATATTTCCCAAAAGAGGTAGTTTTAAAAAGAATAGTTTGTTAAAGGGTAGCACTTAGGAAATGAAGTTATAATTAGTAAGAACTGAGGTGGTTTTACACACACACATTTTCATGGCAGATTACCATTATTTCTATTCTTGATAGAAGTCAGTGAGACTTCAGTAAAGCATGTGCTAAGGTTTCTTTGCATTGCATATTTTTAAAGATGGAGCAAAGACCATCTGGTTGAAGAACTATTCTTAAGGAGACCCAGTGACCTTGATTGAAATCAGCTGAAAGAAGATCTCCCCTAGCTTTCTTTTGAGTTCTGTATTGTTGACATTGAATTTGTAGTTTCAGTGAAGCTACAAATGTCCGACTGGCTGATGTTAACACTCACTCTGGAGTTGAACGGGTCTGAGTTGGAATCCTGTCTCTACTGTGTTTGGACTATGTGATCCTGGCCAAATTCAACTTGCTAACTTCCCATTTTTTTAACGAAATGGGGATATTAATAGTGCCTTCTTCACATGGTGTAACAATAATAATAACTCATAGCTTTTGATTATTTACTACATGCCAAACATTTTGCTAACATTATCTCATGATATTCTTACAACCCCATAGGATGACGTGATTATTATTTTAATCCAGATTTTTTTAAAAAATCTGAGGCATAAGGGTGATGCCTTCAGTATTAAGTGATGAAGCCAAGATTCAACCCATCATCTCTTCAGCTCCAGAACCCATGTTCTTAGCTATTTAATGAAACGTCTCCCAAGAGTTGTTGTAATGATTAAATAACGTAAGATAAGTAAACACTGGCATATAATATATTCCAGTGTTGCATTATACCAGTGTTCACTGAATTGAATTCCAACTGCAGTAGAGTTCGAGTAGAAACTGGTGATGGTGGGGAAGGCAGAGTCAGGAAGGTTTATACTATGGAGGGCTGTTGAGAATGACCATAATCCACAGCATGACTCTGTTGCCTTTTCTGATCCAGTCTGAATTATACTGAACGACAAGCCAGACAAGAAAGGGCCCAGAATATTAATCTATAGAGACTCTAAAACATCTTTGGAAATGTAAAAAAAAAAAAAAATTGAGAAAAGTTAAGTACTAGCATGCATTTCAGAGTATTATATGTAGTTGGAAGGAATATAGCAGTAAGTTGAAAGGGGTGAGACCTTCAAGGGGCATGAGCCAATAACGAGATGCTTCTTCTCAACTCCTGCTAAGAACGCTGTGCCTGGTTACATGGAGCACACCCTAGCACCAAAGTGGGGCCAGAACAGAGCTGCTCAGGATGGGAGAGGGGATGGTATTCTGCAGCTATGGGTACTCCTTCTTAACCCTTTCTTCACAAACCCCTTAGCTTCTCCTTTAAAGAAAAGTTACACAGATATTTGAAGAATATTTGGTTGATTAGGGCACTAAATTATTATCTTGCTTGGGGGTGGCCTCATGCATTCATCTGGTCTTAGAGCAATAGCAGACAGCCTTTTAAGTCTTACCTTCATCTTACCTCCCACCAATGCCCATTGGCTTCCCTACAAGGGGGGATAAAAGATTGTAATCATCACCATTCAAAAGAATCCATGCTATGTAGGTTGAGTTTTCCAAGCTGCACTAATAAAGCTCCTTTGACATGACATTGCCCAGGCAAGTGATCATGGGTGTTTAAAGAATTAATAAGTTTGAGTCAGATGATGTGTTAGAAGTTAATAAATAATAGATCATAATTATAGATAGCCAATAATAAGCCATAGAATCACAACCAAGAGATGAGAGGAAAGGCTGTTCCAAAGCCAAGTCAGAAAGAAGAAAGATAAGCATTACAGCAGAATTGGAAGGAAAACTTAAAGATGCTTTGCCTGTTGATTTTTGTTGTTGTTGTGTTTTAGTTTGTGGCAAGTTATTTGGAAAGTACAGAATCTCATACTATGGAAGGCAGAGCAATTTAGCAGTCAAACGTATGGGCTCTGGGACACCTGGGTGGCTCAGTCAGTTAAAGGTCTGCCTTTGGCTTAGGTCATGATCCCAGGGTCCTGAGATTGAGCTCCTCATCGGGCTCCCTGCTCAGCAGGGAGTCTGCTTCTCCCTCTCCCTCTGCCTCCTCTCACCCCTGCTTGTGCTCACTCTCTCTCTCTAATAAATAAATAAAATCTTAAAAAAAAAACCAAAAACATACGGGCTCTTCCCAGTTGGGTGGCTAAATTTAAAACAACTGATGATAGGAAATGTTTGTGAGCATTAGAACAACTGGAACTCCCATACCTTTTTAGTGGGAATATAAGCTAGTATGTCCAGTATGTAAATCTGTTGGGCAGAATCTACTGAAGTTGAATGTCTGCATATGGTGCAACCTATCAATTCCACTTCTAATAATATACCTAGCAGAAATGTGTGTATATGTCACAAGTAATGCATTCAAGAATGCTAATAGCAACATTCATTTATACTGCCAAAAAAAGGGTGGAAAAGCCCACGAATGCCCATCAGTGACAATGCAGAAACTAAATCATGAAGTGGTCATACAATGGACTACTACTAATGATGAGTATTAACAAAAACAACAACCCCACACATCACCATCACTGAATCTCACAAATATAATATGGAGTTATGGAAGGCATACAAAAAACATGTTTATGTGAAGATCAAAAGCAGTAAAAATGAATCTGTACTGTTACAAGAAATGATAAGGATTACTTTTGGGTGAGAGAGAGGGCAGTGATTCGTGAGAAGCATGGCAATTTATGTGATGCTGACAATGTTTGATTTCTTGATCTGCGTGATGGTTATATGGGTGTTTTAACCTGTAAACATTCACCAAGCTATACAGATACGATTTACACACTTTTCTGTATGTATGCTGTATTTTGATTAAACATACAGCTTATTATGTAAGGTATTCCATTTTTTTTTTTTTTAAGCATTGGCTACAGGAACCAACTGAACTGCCTGAGTTCAAATCCCACCTCTACCACTTGCTTAATGGGCGAACTTTTCTGGAACTGTGTTTTTCCTTGTGGATAATGTAGACAGAAGATTATACCATGCAGGGGTGTGTTGAGAATCAAGTGACATGATACATTGTAAACACTGAGTTTGGCACATGGGGAATTTTCTAGAAGCATTAGTTATTATGTTGGTTGTTACTGCAGCATAGTATAGCAGATTTTTGTTCTCTCTCTTTTTAATTCTTTTCTCCTTTTGCTGAAAGGCTACATCCAATCTTAAAATCAGTAGTGTTTTAGTATTGAGAGCTCACATTAATCCCTTTGTCGTGGGGTTCGAGAAAGACTTAAATGAGCTTACAAGGTCTCAGTGTGGGAGGTCTGAGGGCTTTACGTGTATGAAAAATATGTGCAGAAGGAATGAAGGGGCACATGGACAGTGCACATGGAGTGCGTGGGGGTGGGGTGGGTTTGGAGAAGGAAGAAGCAATTCCTGACCAAAGGAATAAGGAACCTATTTGCAGGAGAGAATATTAACAATTAACCTTGAGTTGTGGATAGATTTTGGCTATGTAGAATCTAAGGCAAGAGGGAAGGCTTTCAAGTCTGAGGGGTTGAAGGGCCAAAGAAGAGAACTTTCCCCGGGGGCACAGCTCCCATGCTCTAGCCTGTCCCAGTGGGAAGCTGCTGGGAATGAGATTTTCAGACACTAACAATGTCAGCCTCAAAGGTAGACGAGGGAGGGCTAGTTAAAT